AGAAGATCTCACAGAAATATGTAAGCTATTAACCTGCAAACGAAGAGCTAGTTACGAGATTGCAAACTTCACAGAGTATTCAACCCCATTCAAAGATGCGGGTGCCATGGAGCAACATTGTGTAATGGAGAACAGTGAGGCAATCGTAGTTAAAACGGCGATTTCAATTTACGATATATCATATGGAACGCGTAATCTTTCTTATTCTTTTGCATCATAAATATAGTGCTCGTATAGTACCGATATATTGCTTATATTACGTGATAATCAGCGTTTTCAAGGCTTCATGCATATTAGAATATTTATAATAGCAATTTCTGATTTAATTTGTTTACACTCACATCACGGATTTGAAACGTACTTTATTCATGCTTTATGCATCTAATAATGAATTGCATTAATACATGCAATTAATAATACGGTTGTTATTCAGAAGAATACGTAGATCTTTCGTATAATTATCGATTTATAAATTAATTTTCTTCAATAAAAATGACATCTTTAATCAAACCGTATTGCTAATATTAATTCAACTCGTTATTTATGCTAGATGTACGCTTCTCTATTTACATTAAATCTACAACGTGTATACCTCTTTACATAATTATTACAACAAACAAAAATGCGAAATAAATTTACAGATAGTTTTTAGAAATAAAGAAACAGATTTTCTGTTTAATAGAAAACAGAAAGTTATACGCGTTGTCTGTGTAAATTTTACTACAATATGATGCAATCTTGTTTAAAGGATCAAGAGAAAACTTTCATTTTTTATATATATGAAATATACGTGAAATGCTTTACGCGGCAATATAATAAAGAAGGACATAGAAAAAACACCTGGATTATACGTGTCTCAATCAGAAGCATAAAAATCTAGACGACCGCACGAACGTAACCTTTTCTCGCGAGTGGACTTATTACCCAACAATGATTGTCGGTGATGTCCTTTACGTGCTCGACAACGACTTGTCAGGGAATTGCAGGCGGTCTCGGAGATAACTGCCAACCCGGACATAATGTTCATACATCACACGTATCTTTATTATCATATTATCGGCAGGATCGCTTGCGCAGTTTTCCCATTATTAACACGCCGTTTCGAGAGATATCGAGTGATAGGTGACGAACTGCGATTGTTCGACAATGTATTGTTGTCGAATTAAGAAGGTTTTCTGCTGCAACGTTTTGCAATTCGAGATATTTTCTTCGAAAAGACATTCACTCTTTTGCGCGAGCATGTTATTTTCGATAAGTAGACATGTTTAATCAATTGCATTATATCGGATATGTACGAATATATATTTGTGTAAGATATTTTTAAAAGATGTATTTTATTAAAATTTTTTAGTTTGTTTTATTTTGAAAAATATATTTTTATATTATAATATATTTTTAATATATTTTTAATATATTATAATATAATATTATAATATAATATTATATTATATTATAATATTATATTATAATATAATATAATATTATAATATAATATATTTTTTAAACTTAAATAAAATACATCATGATAAAAAGTGAATTTCTTTTATTTTATTATAATAATGCATAAAATCGATTCATGTCAAGACGAGGAGGAAAAAAACTGTGTATGAAACTTTTTAAAGAATTAATAAAGACTTGGATGGACGCAATACTTGCGTGTCCTACTTCGTATGTGAACTATTCACCGCGAATACTTATCGAAACGCTGCTTTTCTCCCCGGTGTGAAAGTGCCTCCCTTCCCTCTTCCCTCTCCCCCTTCGTAGAATAGCGTAGAATGAGATTTTTAGATGAATAATAACGTATCAAAAATTTGATTTCAGAAGCCTCAGAAATTCCGCGAGACGCAATACGAGGAAATGACACACCGAGCGGAAGGAAACTTGGCGCGTTGAATATTTCCGCGCAATTAGTAACAGCTTTGCCTGTACGTGAAAGCGGCAGTAAATTAAATCAGCCGTTAGAGCAAAGAAACAGAAAGCAACCTCCGCAATATAGCATCGCGTATATCAACCTATAATCGCACAGTGTTATGCAAAAGTGAATTAACTCGGCACGATCATTTTAAGTCAATTAAGTTAAAACACTTATGTATTAGTGTATAATTTATTTTTTAATAATGATATTGGATATTTAAAGATAGGAGTAGATAGGAAATGAATTTTAATATGCATCGCACATATAAACTTGTGAGAAGCATTATGCATGCTAATTAAAACGCGGAATTTTTATTTTGTTTTTTCTCTTTTTTATTATCTTTTTTCTCTCCATGTCTGTAGTTGTTTTTTTATTTAAAAAAAATTGGTTTTTATACAATATCGCATCCATTAAATACAATACTGACGTGGATCAGCAAAATATGATTATGTAACAAGTTATACTAATAATAAAAATTATCTTATTTTTATCATCGATTATATCGAGTTTTGAGGCTTTAATGGATCCGCGATTGTGAACTAACTGCAATACGAAACCCGTAACGCGAGTTTGGATAATGTTGTACGATCAGACATAAATAAGGCAAGATGACAAAAAGTCGGCACTATTTGAAAAGTATAATTATTGTAGACAACTGAAATTGCTACTAAAAACGTAGTTTCCCTCATTATCTCCGTGATCATTTAAATTCCTCAATTTTTTTTCTCTCGATATTGCTTGATATTTTTCTAGTAATCGGAAGTACGATGCTTGTTTAAATTAGCAATTCTCCAGTCAATGGCAGAAATGAGCGTATGAGCCGTATAAACATATAACGTTATACAACATCGATCCATGCCGGTTTCGGTTCGTGCATCGAGGAGATTGTAAATATTGAAAACGAAAGTTTTATTCTGTGCGTCTTAAACCGCATTTCTCTTCCTATATCCGCGCTCCCTTACGTATTTATGTCGCTCATATAACTATAACTAGCAACTATGTGCGAGGGACGCTCGCAAATTAAAGTAAACAATCAGAAATAATTTAAATTATTTCAAATTTAAATTATTAAAATAAATAATCAGAAATAATTTAAATTATTTCTGATTATTTATTTTAATAATTTAAATTTTGACATTAGCGAAAGAAAAGATGAAAGTATAAATTATGATAACAAACGCAAATTTAATCTGGGTCGCGGGGAAAATGAAAGAGATTCCGCTTCCTTCTGAATAAGTACGACACGCAACGTTCTTCGTTAGGATTTGTTAGGAGACGTTTCGTTTCTCGACCGACAGAGAGTGGTGAGAAGAAACGAGAATGATTAAATCTCGCTTTCGACGCTACGCGTGCACAAATGAGTCGAACAACGGAAAAGGTAGGTGCTCTCTTTCTTGTAACGCGAGGCCTGAATCGCTCGAAGCACACGATTGTTTGGCAAACAACTGCGCTCCGTGCGACCGTCCACGTGCTTCGCGATCAAGCACGTACAGGTACTTTCGATTCTTCGTGGCATACCAGTAGAAATCACAAAATCAGTTCGATTAATAATATTTTAGAATATTTATGTTTAAGAATTATTTGCTCACGAACGCGATTGATAAGAGCTGAAATACGAGTGTGTAATTGAGAAGAGATCAGAATTTGCAGCATTTTGCAGAAATTTTGTTAGCAAATTACGGCAATAAATAATAACTAAAAATAATCGTAAATCTAATCGTCTTTCCATATCCTTTTTACGTAAAATGCAGGACTGAACGAGCGGAGGCGATAAGCGACATTCTTCGTTACATTCCTCATCGATAGTTTTGCAACGGCGCCAAGAATGCTATCTGTTAGCTCCTTTAGTCTCGTAATTTCACATGATACTTTTAATTAAGTATTTATTCAAACTATTCGCGCGATATTATGTAAGTGTGTGCTACATAGACGCACTGTGTGGTCTACAATAATTGATTTATTCGAATATTATGTAGAAATCGCGACATGGCAGGCTTAATGATAAAATGCTCAATACCATTAAAAATACTGTCTAATCTAAATAAAATTTGTAGAGATTGACTAAAATAATAATCGCAATGTTAATTTAGTTTTCGCAACTCGGCAACTGACGGTTAAATAAGTGTAATTAGATTTAAAATAAATGGAAGTCATGGGAAAATACTGCTAATTAAAATCTGCTAATTAAAATTCTCAATAGACGTTAAGATTTTCTGCATAAAACTGATTTTATTAAAGTTGATTTTTTTGTATAAAAATTTATAGTTATAATTAGGCGTGATATATTTTGACTAGTTTTATCAAACAGTTTTTTATAATATTTAAAAAACGAATCCTTTACATAAACAACTCATGCAATCAATGATAAAACAAAATAAATAATGGTATTTTGCATTTTATTTCAGTTATAATCGTCCATCATCGATCGAAGAATTCATTTCGAAATCGTATTAAATATATACTCGAAGTAAAAAGAGGACGTTTATTATTAGTAACGTTTATTATTAGTAACGTACACAGAGAAAAATATCATTCTACTGCCAAGAAACTGCGATTACTCAATTTATTTTTCTTCTTTTAAGTAATAATTTTCTTCAACAAAGAATATATTCTTGATAATAGTTAATAAATTTAATAATAGTTTTAAAATATACTCGTCACAAGTGTTAGAAAATCTCATTATCATGTACTCAAAGGAAGAATTTATTTTCTCTTCAAGATTATTATAAAGTTGTATCAAAGAAAAATTAAACTTACTTTACGCCAACTCTTTGTAGATAAACAAACCAAATGTTTGTTTTAATATTCTTGACTAAAATACTACACTTACTAAAATTCAAAATATATTCAATTAAATTTAATGCTTGTGGTGAACTTGTGATATACAAACTTATGATATACTTAAAATAAATAATATTTACTTGAATACAGTATACATTTTTCTCTATGTATATATGATGACTTTTCGAAATACATTTTTCTAGGACGATTTGGAAATGAGCTCTGCGATTGTGCGTCCTGCATTTCAAGCTTCGAAGATGACGAATTGACCTACATGTCGTAAAAAAAAGAAAAGAGTACTCACGTCATTTATAGTCGGTAGGAGCGAAGCTTCGTCGATCGGATGAGCGATCTATCACGGTCCTCATGTTTCCATCGCCGGCGAGGTCCTCAGCATCATCGCGATGACGAACGGACAAGTCGTCTAACGTAAAATTGCTCTGCTTTCCGCACGTATGACGCACACAGGCGTCGTCCGGTCCCGCGATGATAGATCGACGTTTTACGGGCCTCTTCTTCTTCCGGCGTGAGATTTCCGGCAGCTGTTTCCTCGCTTCCGCGTGATTCCGTATGCATCAATTTCCGTATGATCACTGCACACCAACACACTGCCAGAAGAGAGAGAGAGAGATGGTTTATCCCCTCGTACGATGGTCTATGTCGATCCGATTATGATTCACGATTATTGAATTTCGCGAGACTTGACTCTTTGCATTCTTAGAAAATCGGCATACTTGATGCAATCTCGCACGGATGTCGTTTCCCCTAGCGAAACAGGATTACAGGAATGTAAATACGATTAAAATAAAAAAGGATAAAAGTACGCGAAGCGCAAAGGATGAAAATTGACTCGAAAATTGATCAAGAGGTGCGCAGGTGTTGTGTTTATCGAAGGTATCGACGTGAGAATGCAAAGAATCAGGGAAAATCGAGCTTTTTATTCTCCGATCGGATGGCACGGGAATGGACGAAAGACACAAAACTCGATTAAACGAGGAAAAGGAGAAAAAAAGAGGAACGATCGTTTAAAAAAACTCGTCTTCCCAGTTACGCAAACCGCGGACGATCGGCCAGAAATAAAAGTCGCCGCGACTTTTACATCGAAATGCGGAGAAGAGGAATGTGTCGTTCGTTCTGCCGCTCCCGTCGCGCAGGATCGTCTCGCATTCATTACCGGAAGAAGATCGAAAGTTTAATCGCAAATACGTACAGATTCACCGAATGCTATGGCTCTTTCCCGCGGGATCCGTCTTTCTCGGCCAGATAGATTTTACATTTGCACATCGGCTGCTTTTTATCGTGTTATTTTTTCCACCGATTATCCACCGAAATATCTGCAACAATTTAATTTAATAATAATTTTCAATAATTCAATTTAATAATTTTTCAAAGTAAAATGTTTTTCATTCATCAATATTTTTTTGATTAAGCGCGCGAAAAATATAAAGAGAAATATAATTTTACGTCAAATGCGTCTGAAAACGTTGTAAAAAATAAATATCTTCTGCCCACGTGCACGAATATTTACGGTACCTAACCTTTTATCTCCGATAACGTTATATCACTACAAAATTCTTTCCTTTCCGTTATCTCTTTCTAGCACTTAGAACCCACGATAATCCGGGAAAGCAAGGAGACTTTCCTAAACCGAAAGCGGCATGAAAACTTTTCGGTAAATTTCGATTATCGATGTGCCACCGAGACGGAGATGCGAGAAAACGCGACTCGAACCTCTTTAATCGCGTCGATTACAATCTCACTCGATCCGATAACTCTGTACTTTACGCACCAATCACACGTAGTTTCCTTCTTCCTTCGATGCGAGCGACTCGTACGCGACGCGACCGACAATAACGGGCATATCCCCACGTCCGATGACACCCTCGCCGAAGGACGGAGACGAACACGTGCGCTTGCACTCGATGACGCGCACGGCTGATTTGAAAATCCCTCGCGAGAAATCCCCGGCGCTGGCGCGTCACCGGCGGACAGGTCGACGAGGGGGGAGGGAGGGGGAGAAAGAGAGAGAGAGAGAGAGAGAGAGAAAGAGAGGAAGGATGGACGACGCGTGGTGAGGTGCACGCGCGACCGCGCGGATTCGAAATTGAATGCGAGTGCGCGAGCGGACTCGGTGTAACTGCGGACGACGGTGGCCGTCGACGTCGCCGGGTGGCCAAGAGTCCGCGGGAGGAAGTGGGGACCCCGAACGCGACGGACCGTGGGGAAGGACCGCGATCGCGATCGTTACACGGCCGTGCGCGCGCGGGAGAAGGCCGTCATCTGAGATAGAGAGAGAGAGAGAGAGAAAGAGAGAGAGAGATACCTGCGACGAGACGCGTCGGCACCGTTTAACATGAGGCTCACAGATTTTTTTTTTTTTTTTTACGAAGAGGAAAGGGACTCTGTATCTCGAATCCAGATCCATCTAGATCGGGAATTTATTCGAGCGAGAAATACATTTAATTACGAGGCGCGTATTTAACCGTTTTTAACCTTTAGTTTGGAAAAAAAAGTTTTGCAATTGTATATTTTGTTTTTAAATATGTTTCTATAGATATAGATATAATTGTTGTAATTTTTATAAATAAAGTAGAGAGAGTGGCGCGTTGAAAAGGGAAATAAAAGTGCGTAACCTTAAGTAGATTGAATTATAAATACCTGCGCTTCTTGACGCTTCGATGTAAAATGGCGCCTCCTTTGAATTCATCGATGACTCGACCGAGAGATGCGCAGTCGGAGACGATACGTGAACTACTGCGCAATAATCGATAGAGCTCCGCCGGTAAATTTCAAATGCGTCGGCTTGATGTTTTCAAAACACACGGACACTTTTTTTTATTGTAACTGTCGATTATATAATTGTGACGTAGCAAAATACAGTCCCAGACATATTTCCTGCAGATATCTGTAAAATTATCGAAAATATCATCTATTAATTTTACGTATCTAATAGAAAAAGCACACAATTATATATAAATATTCGTTGTCAAGATGTACAACATTTATATAATTCTTTTTTAGAGAAATAATCCTTTCATCCCATCTAATATCTCGAAACAAAAATAATCAATGTTATTTATTAAGCCTAGCAAAAAAATGTATGTGCATCGGAAACGAATGGCTTCGTGGAAATGTTAATTATTGACAGTTTTTCATACGCATTCTAGCGAATTTTTTATCCATGAATTTCATCCATGGCTGGGTGGCTGCTTATAATGTTGCACAAATGGCTAATAATCTCGAATTAAAAGATTTCCTTTCGATTTCGTGTCGCATAAGTACAGAGGACGATAAGTTTTATTGAGAAAGCCACGTATCAAGATAGTCCTTGTAAAATTTAATTTCCAATTTTACCTGACAGATACTGTAATCTGTTGCGTCAAAGAATGATTCGTCGAATTATTTTTACATTTGTTTTGAAATATTATGAGACGAATTAATTTTTGTCCATTTCTTTGTCATTTTCCTCATCTTCTAAACCACCTGAAAAATTTATCTCGCACACAAACTCATAGTATCAAACATTTAAAATCAATACTGATCGCGTGATAACGCGCATCTTTCTTCTACGGGAGAGGAAACGGATTGCAGGATCGCAAAATTGCAGGCCTCGCGTAGCCGGAAGTGTGTCTAAACTTCGCGTGACCGGTTGCGCCGAGAGGTCCGCGTAGCTGTCGAGGTTTAGAATCTCGAACGGGGACTTGGATATGACTACGAGCCGAACACACACAATGGCGGGGGTGTCGAGCGAAGGAGGCGGGGGGGAGGTCGGAGCGGGGGAAGGAAGAAATGGATAAAAAAATAAAAAGAAAAAAGAGATACGAAGGAGTGGTAACGGACTTCGAGTCCCGGTGATCGTTTTCCGGTTTTCCGTTCTCGCAAGGCACAATTCCACCTCCTTCTCACTGCGCTCTTCTGCGTCCTTCTCCGTCTTTGCCTTTCTCTCTCTCTCTGTCTTTCTCCGTTTGTATCACCTCTCTCGAGCGCTCGACCCTCCGCTCTTGTCCTGTCTCGCGCGAGAGGGAAAGTATTTTATACCACGCTTGGCTTGGCAAGAGAAAGGGGACACGGTTCGCTCCTAATTTCTGTGCCTTAACTTCGTGAACCTATATATCGCGTTGCCCGCCGTGTATGCGCCTGTAATTCGACGCCGTGCTCGAATTGTTGCACGCTCTCGCCGCGCGACCGCCGTGAGTTTACGTCCCAATCTGAACTTTGCGCGACCGCGCACTCTTAGGCAAGCTCGATATTATCGATATTATCAAGTTTAACACAAACCAAAGAAATGCAACATACTTAACTTGAAAAATTACATTATATATCTTTAGAATACATTTTCAAAATGTATGTGTAATTTGAGAGACCACGATATGAGATACATCTTCTTTTCATTATGTTAAAATAAATGATACGATCTTTTATGCAAGCTATTATTATCTCCTCTTTCTTTTCGATTGTATTTTGCTAAAGCTTTATAGACAAAAATGATCTACTCGTGTATACATATATATTTTTTTCGATAAAATAATATCTTGATATTTGTCAATTTACTTTGCAGAAATAAGTGACATTCATGCAGTTCAATTAACTTTGATGAAAATATAATTTCGAACTTTATAATCTATAGTTACGATGCGAAAACATTTATACATGATGCGCATGTCTTGAATACACAGTTCAAACGAGATATCGAATATGTTTCGCAACTATTTCTTTATGCGGAATGAAAACAAAGAAAATTCTTCGAGCGTCACGTAAATTCGCGCAGCGATGCAAAAAAGATTTTTAATATTGATTCCCTGTTGATGGAATCGTCTTCGCACGCGGAAAATTCTTATCCGCGAAGAGACCCAGAGTAATAAGGCTTCTCGATGGAATCGATCGCTCGAAGACGAGGACAAAGCGAATTCGCGCCGCACCGAGAAAGAAAGAGAGATGAAACACAGAGTGGGAGGACAGAGAAAGAGATGCAGCAGCAGCAGCGACAGCTCCTTGGCACAAGTCCGGTTAAAAGTGAAATCGACCATGTACCGTCATAGCCATTATTATATGTTATTCAAGCCAGACAGAACGGGCGATAGGATACCTGAGGCTGCTGTTACGAGAGTTGCGCGTTGGAAACGTAACTCGGTCGTCCCGAGGCTCATTGTTTCGTGACATTGATAGAAGCAGCGGCGATTCTCTCGTCAAGTATGTTCCAATTAAGGATCCGTAATCTTCCTACGTGTTCTCCAATCCCTTTTTTCGCTCCTTCCACATCTTAGGACTTAGGAGCGCGTGTATATAAGCCATTGCGCGCTCCACAGCCATCCGCGTTAATTACGAAAGTGAAAGTATGGCTTGTTCATGATGTTGGATATGAAATAAAAAAGAAATATTCGTGCTTCTCCTCTTCTTCTTTCCATTGCTTTTACGTAATTTGGTTGATCTTGTTACCGTTTTTCATTCTGATTGACCGCGTCTCCGACTACGTCCACGCGTGGTCAATGGAAGAGACGTTTTCTCTGCAAAATCGTCGAATGATTAATATAAAAGATCGGATAAAATTTAATGATATAAATCTACTAAACACAATTATGCCCTTAAATAATTAATATATTTAAATTAAATACTCAACATTTCATCAAACTTCAAAGGGTAATGTGATTTTTTTTTGAGAACTTGTTGAACTTCCAGGTAAAAGAGTAAAATTTAAATGTATTTCTTGAAAATTTTTAATTTTGTTAAAAACTTGTAATTGTCTCAATTTCTTTTCTCATACATACCATCTTTACGTCAATTTACGTTAGTGAATTTCGGTAACAAAACCCGGAAACTATTTTATACAATCCCTCTGTCTCAATCGCTTCGTAATCAAATTTCTAATTCGATCTCGCAAGATCGATCGACCGAGTCGAGAATTTCGTAAAGATTTCACTGTCGTCTCCGGCATATCGGTTTTGCATGTTACATCATTATTTTCTGAAGTGATTAAGCGAATTAAACAAAATGACGATAATTGATCATTTGCAAAAATACAATAATTATCAATAGAATAAATATTCTCAAAATTGAAAGAATTACCTTGTGAAAAATTTGTTGAATTTCTTTTATGAATTATGCAGCGCACAGGCATCGGCCATTGTGACGATCGCGTGTAAATAATAATTTTGTATATAGAAAAAGATTAGTGACGTTGTGTAATCATCCGGTTAGAATTGCTAATAAAGCTGCAATCTCTCTCTGCCTTTCACAATGCATAACGGAAATCGTGACTGGTTATGTCGCGTTTACGCCATGATTGATGAAATTATTTAAACTCTCTCTTGGGATAAAGTTGTTTGATTATCTACCGAGTTCAAAGATAATTGGAGATCTTGATATAAACGACCCTTGGTAATATCGCATGCAGTTACCATTAGTTCAAATATTCCTGAAACAAAAAAAAATATAAGAATTTATGTAAAAAAAATTATTGTAATTTATATATAAAAAATATATGTAAAAAAATATATAAAATACATTAATAAAAATATATAAAAAATATATAAAATACATTAATAAAAATACATTATAAAAAATATATGTATATATAAAATACATTGTATTAAAATATTGAAATAATTACAAAATATTATTTAGTCAAAAAGACAATGTAAAAAATAAATAATGCTATAATTCTTTTAAATATATATTAAAATATATATTAAAAATATATATTAAATAATATATATTAAATAATTTTTAATATATATAAAATATATATTTAAAAAAATAATGAGATTTCGAGATAGATATAGAGTCGTCTCTATATATGACTATTTAAAAAAAATAAATCTCTACTTTAATAAAGACGTTAGACATTTACATTGCACGAGAAAAAAAAATTAGCCACATTAATTTTTACTGTAAATTTAATATTTTAGAGATTATAGTTGCAACGGGATATAAATAGTGCATAAATGATTTCTAATTATTTCTTGCAATAAAATGTAGAATAATTCGCCTGTAAGAGTAGATAAGAGAAGAAGAGAGAATTAATTGTTATCTAATGAAATTCTTCAAATTGTTGTCACTCTAATTCGAGCTGTGATAACAAATCAGTCGATTAATCAATCGCAGAAAGTGATTATATTTTTGATTAAAAGTTCGATATGATAATATTTCG